TCTCAGTTTGCATTTCAGCCCAGCAGAGGTTACTGATCCCCCACTTTCTCTCATCCTCTATCACATTCATGTATGACCTACCATGGCCCAAGCATGAGCTACACATTCATGTGAGAGATACACAGTGTGTATCTGAAGAAATGAAGCGTCAGTAGATGCTCGCTTGCACACTTTAATAGTGAGCCAGCAATAGTCAAAGGAAACAAAAAGTGTGAGAAACACACACACACACACACACATACTAGGACACTGACCAAAGCTTAGTGCATAAATAGAGATGAGATGATAAAGCAGCTCTGAAGCACACTGGGGGAACAGGAGGGTTGATTTACCAAGCCAACCACAAATTACTGCCAGAGCTGCAAACATTTGCGTTGGCGCATGTTTTCAATTTAGCTGGGAATTTACTTACACTCAAGTTCATTTGAATGTTCTGCTGCTAATTAAGACCTGATGCTCGGCTATTTAACACGTGTCTTGTCCAGTTCTGGAAAGCAACAGAGTGTGAAAGAAAGTGGAAGTTCTCTGCTACTGTGCTGGAAATATTAGTTGAAAAAGCCAATAAAAACATTTCTGAACCGCAGTCATGCAATTACCTCGACCACAGCGGACAATCCGCAATGATAAATCACTTCCAGCCACCATTTGTATGAAGTTCCTTTCCCTCTACGCACACAGTATTATGCAGTTCAACATAGAATGCTCTAATATATGTTGTACAATAACCCAAACATGCTTTTTTTTCGCCTTGCACTTTTCACATGCCAGGATTAAACATCAAAACAGCCCCATAACTATGCCATAACTATGGACAAATGCAATCTGACTTGTTAGCATCTAATACAGCACCGTAAATCCTGAGTTATAAGTAAATCAACCCTTGAGTCTGGCTTGGGTTTTATTAAGCCGTCTGCTCCATTGTAAGGCCATCGTACCGAGTTTCCTGTCTCTCCATTTCCTCCCCTACCAAGCAATATAGGTACTGTCATGAAAATATATGTCCTCTTCCGCCTATTCAGTTTATCTTTGTCTGCATCGTAACCAGGGCCCCTGAAAGCAGTGCCCCAGGCGCTGGAGCCCAAAGGCAGCGAGAGTGGCACCTCGCTGGCTGACAACCAACCTGGATGCACTCATCAGAAAGCCACTGCTGTAGTTGGAGAGGACACTGAATAAAATATAAAGCCGAGGGTGGAAATTATACACTGTATGTGATGCAAGTTGGGCAGTTTTGTGTGTGGGAAGAAAGTAGAACAGGGAGTGTAGGGATGGGAGAGAAAGCTATGTGTGGGTGCATACAAATGTGTGTTAAACTATCACTGTTCATGCGGGTATAATGTATTTGTGAGGATTTGTGTAACAAGAATAAAATTAGAGTTTCAGTCACTTCCTTGCCTCGCTTTGTGTAAGTGTGGGGACAATAATAAAAATTGTACCCAAGGATTAGAAAATAAATACATTAATATAAAAAAAGGAAAAACAAAAGAGCATGCGAAACATGAGAAACCAAACACGAGAGGTTGAGAAACAAATTAGCGCAGATGAGTGTGTGATGAAAAACCGAGCAGGCACAACCACTAAGCTCAAAAAATGCAGGCTTCTGCATATAAGCAAACAGCATAAAGACGTGATTAAACTTGATAAAACTTCAACCCTGATTAACCACAGCCATTTGCACGTCCTGCACCAGGTCTACAGAGCCATGCAGCACAAATACAACTGTTAAGGCTTCAGTGTACAGCAGTAAAATTATATAGCAATTACAACCAAATCCCAGTTTACAAAACGTTAAAACAAACTATTGACACTAAATAAAGATTTATCTTACACGTTAATCTGTGGAATACTTGTGCAGTGAAGCAATATGAGGCCACATTCTTAAGGGACAAACAATTTCCTATTGTAACATACTTCAGGTGTTGCTGGAGCAAAATCACGAGAACACTCATATAACCATGTCGTCAAGAGACTGAGATCAGCAGACATGACATTTGATAATTGTTTAAAATAAAGGTCATGCCACTGGGCCAATTACTAGCACGCAAACTCATCAGTTTATTCATCACATAGTTAATCTAAAATCAACCCTGCTGAAATATGGCTGAGAAACGTCAATACTCACCGACTCAAATGTGTTCGCAGCATTGATACTGCATGAAGTGCTGTAAACTGTAAAGCACCTCAAGTTAGCATTGATTGCTTTTCTGGGTCTTGTTTACTTAATTCTTTGACCAGATATTTCCTGTTTTAAGTCATAAAGAGTTAAATTTTCACATGGTTGCATTTATGCAGGTGGGTGATGATCATTATGATATTGATGCACCTGCAGGCACTTAGCTCATGATCCGTGCACACCGTGAAGCCCAATGTTACTGCATACTTCTCTGGTTAATCAGTGAAATGTATGGAGCAAACTGCAGACTAAAGTCTCTACTAACAATGACAAACAGAGCGATGACTGACTTATACGAATGGGTCCAGCAGAGGTTGAATGTGCAGGACCGTGTTACACATGTTTGGTGTATGAAATGGCTGTGTTGTCACTAGGTTTGGGACTTTGGGATTTTAACGATTCCGATTCCTTACTGATGCCTTCTTAACGGTCCGATTCCTTACCGATTCCTCTTACCGATTCCTACATTATATTCATTATACTTGCTATACTTAAACAAGTATATAATAAACACAAATGCAATCATACAAATACATAAACTTTATTCTAACTGTTGCACAGTACAATTAGATGAAAATACACATTTGTGTGTGGTGTGTATTTCAGATTTAGAGCTTGTATCATCTCCCTGAGAATATATAACAACAAAAAGTGATTCTCTGATTTCTACAGTAACATTATTACCTCAAATTAACCACAGCAATGTAATAAAAAAAATACTTATATGCATTAATGCTTGGGCACTGTTATTTACATGTCAACACCTGAACAGCACACATACAGACACACATTGGCTGTTTGTTTCTACCGCTCCTCTCGCTGGAAGTCTTGGACCACCTGCCACCCACTCCCGTCTCAAACACGGAGGTCTCCCTCTCCGCGGAGCACCTACAGCGCATGCCCAGCCTGTTAAATAGCCTGTAACCATAACAACTGTGTGACACAAACTCAGTGCTTTAGTAATTAAATAATGTTGGGCTCGGTCGGGTTCCAGAACCGGAACTTTGGACCCGGTTCCAAAAAAGAACCAGATTCGGATCCCAACCCTAATTGTCAATGCGGTGCATTGTTACAAACTTTGATAAACTCGTCACATCTCTTGCATTCGTCCAGACACCGTCTCACTCCCTCTTCCTCTTCTTGCAATTCTCCTGCTCATACAACTAAAGTTACATCCAGTAACTACTACTCCTAACAGCATATGGAAATGTGCTGTGTTTTCTGCGACTCAAGTGTAGAGGACTGTAATGTAGGGCTGAAAGGATTCCTCAAGTAACTCAAATAATTCGATTACTAGGAAAATTATTTGCCTTGAGGCTTTTTAGTAGCATTTAGTAAGCTTTTTCATTAAATCCAGTACAACTATACAGCGCACCATGTTTCACATAGATGTTTATTTGTGTTACACAATCCGCTTACGTTACCTCTGCTGTAGAGCTATATGTTAATCGTCAATTATCTGTCTGACATTTTATAACGAAGACTAGCCTACATGTGATGAATTAGTGGCACAGGCGCTATTAATAGCCACAGCCGTGCGTAATGGTTGAGCATAATGACAGCTTTGCTATTGGAGAACCAGGCCGATGCGAGACAGTCTGTAAAACTGAACTTCATCTCTGCCGGTTTTTTTAATCGACAGGTCTAATGAGTGGATTTATGTCTCACTGTGGGAGTGTAAACAAAGCTCATGCATGTGTGCCCACCTCCACAATAACTGAGATATAAGCGCATGTGAGGCTTTATGAATCCGTAAGCTCCGTAAGTTTAACATCCAGGCGTAAAGGGACCTTCGGATAACTTTATTAAGCAGCCAGCGGTTCAGTGAGCGGGCTAACAGTGGTCCTGAGCCGAGTCTCCGTAACCATGGCAACAATGACACTGAGTGACAGACCTGCCATTATGTGACATTCTCCTCTTGATTTAATATTTCTCCGCTATGTCTCGTGAAACTCTTTTGGTTTAATATTTCTCATGTCATTCCCAGTGTGCCGTATTGAATCAGTAAGGGATGGTTCATTTTATTTTTCAATATGGGACGTTCCAGTATTTTACGGGACTGGTGACAACCCTATCGTCTACATGCCTCGGTGTGGCGCTGGTGTCAGTCACATTACCTATCTTCAGTTTTCTTATCCTTACTTTTATCCAGACCTCTGCAGAAAAACAGACCGCAGCATTTCAAGAGTTTTTCTTGGGGAAGAGTGTTTGTAACTTTTATGGACGCTACTGCGCTACACTGTCAATTAATTAATTTCACTACCGAAAAGCTATTTGACTCAGAAAGTAGTGATGTTACCACCACGCTACTATGAATGTTGTTAAATTCGTAACGTCGCTACTTGAAGTGACGCTACTGCCCGACACTGATTATTTTTGATAGCGTGAGTGCGTGTGAAATTGGTCATTTGCAATCAGCGTGAGAGTTGACAGCTGTGACTTTCGAAAAAAGGAAACAAATTTGTAGCTCATTTCTCTAATTTCAGAGACTTTTCTTATTTTCTATATTATATATTACTATTGTCCTTAAATTATGCTAAAGTAATTTCATGAAAACACAGTATTTCTTATCCAATCACTTGATTAATTGCCAGAATATTCAGTAGAATACTCGATTACTAAAGGAATCGATAGCTGCAGCCCCACTGTGATGTTTATTCCAACTTCAGCAAAATCTGCTGCCTTCGTTAGACACACAGCTTTTGTTATTTGAAAACAAAAAAGCAAGAAAAGGGTGCAAACAAATTATGTGCTGGTGAGACCAAATGAGGACTTTGATAACACCAGTGCTACCTGTGGAAAAGTTAGTCTGGAGCCCTGCTCTACTCACTGAGTCTCTTTGCAGCCTCCAGGGCCTCAGAAGCGGTGTCGGCCACAAAGAAGCGTTGGACGGCCACGCCACTCTCTTGCATCAGCTTCTTGCTCTGGTACTCTTGCAGATTTAGCCATCTCCTGGGACTTAGCCAGGTGCACTGGAGGGGAGGAAGGAAAGGAGGGAGGCAGAGTGATTAAGTTTGACTTGTAAGTGTAAGATGGTTAAAACAGTGCTATAAAGGAACTGATCTTGAGCGTTCCATCATGCCTGATATTAACAATATTTTCTCTTCAGCTCAACATCTCTCCAGCAACACAAAAACTTGTCTAACACCTGCTTCGGAGTACACAAGCTACATCCTTTCTCCTCTTCCCTCCTCCCTCCTACAGTCTCTCTCTCTCTCTATCCTTTTCCTGTAATGAGGCAGGCGCCCGGCCTAAGCTGCAGGACAGCTCTGGAGCTGTTTGCTCCATCAGCAGACACAGGCCGTGTCTGCTCCAGCTGTTGTTGCTATTAAAAGGAAATTGGCTTTTTAATGTGACGGAGAGACACAGGCTGTTATAGAGTTAGAATCCCTTCACAGCGGCACACACTGCTATGTGCATGGGTGTGCATATGAGTGCACGTGTGAGTATGTGTGTGTGCATGTAAATGTTTTCACAGGAGAATCTTCAAGGAGTCGTTAAGGAGAGAAGGGCCATTAAAGTAAAGTGAAAACAAGGATTGTGAGGTAAATTATGGTTCGGCATGGAAATGCCTCTTCAGCGTGTGTATGTCCTCATCCAGTGAAGATTAAACTAACATGATAATAACATCAGGACTGCACTACATCATGTTGCTGACTAAATCAAGTTAAACTGACCTTACCTGTTCTCTACTGTAATTCTGTATGAGCTACCGAAGACATTAGTTATGTGAGAATTACCTGCTTAAACATAAATGCAGAAGATGGCATATTGTGATGCTGTTAATATGTTGCAGCATTGTATGATGTACTACTACCAGAATATATTGTTTGTAATACATTGTCAATACTACATCAATACGGCAAAATCAAAAGCTCCATCACACCTACTGTGCTTAGGTCTGCACAGTCGATATTCTGCTTTTAACAACAATTATTAGTTTTTAAAAGAAGTAGCCAACTGCCCCAGGTGGCTTCTGTGCTTAACAGTTGGAAAAATACATTTCTGTGGGGACAAACGCACAACCTAAAATATGGCAATAGCATCAAGCAGCGCACCACACCTTGAAATTGAATCTGTGCCCTTCGAAACTTACTGACAGAAATTATGGCAGTCGGGTGAAATTATTTTGAAAGAGCCGACAGAGACGCCAAAACCGACAAGACCAAATGGTACACCATGAAAATAGTGGTATAGTTGATATTTAGATAATCTTAGTATTGTGAAATTAAATTAAGGAAAAGTAGTTTGACAAAACAATCATAACTCAAGAACTTCTACACTCAAAATAGTGTCTGAAGTGGGACATCTGGAAGACAGCGGGTGTCATTTTTGCTATGAGCAAATTAAAAATATGAAAGTTATTCAAACAGATATCAGAAGTGGCTAAATGAATACTCCCTAACATGTTAACTCACCGCAATGAATTTTACACTTTAAGTCACACGTATGTCAGCAAGTATCAAAGCAATATGTTGAGTTTTAGGGATCTGGAAAAAGGCAACAATAAACCTACAGTGTTCAGCGTTCAGTTTATAATGTATATTGTGTTCCTCAATGACCAGGTAGTGCAGGGCATGTTCCATGACTGACCAAGAGTCAACAGGTTATATGCTTAGTAATTTGCCAGCGAAAAGATCTGTTCAGAAAGGAGCTAAAATGCAGCTTGGTCTCACTCTCTGGTTGTCAAAATACACCACTTGGTCAGTGTCCCCAGCGTCCCGTTTTAGACACTCACTGGGCTTTTAACCAACTCTAATGTAAATTCATACATGTTATTATTAGATGCTCAGAGCAACCGATATGGTTTAAAGAATGTGGGTGGGGGATGAGGTGGATGGGCCCAACAAACACTGGACTTTGACCCAGGAGAGCAGAGTACGAGACCAACAAACAAAAACATAGATTGCTGCATTTGTGTCTCTCAAAGCCAAATATTTTTTAGCAACACACTGCTGCCCTTTCACCCACATTTGTTACACCCGAGGCTTCTGCCCAAGTGGCAAAATATGACGAGTAGGGATGAGATCAAGTTGTAAAATGTAATCTTCCGGACTCACGGTTGACCATGCCTGACCATGTTTTGAATGCCATTTTTTTGTTGTGCATTATATTTTTTAAAGAGCTGTCATGGCAGCAACTGGATCACAGCACACAAGATTAAAGAGGTTGGAGGGCTTTCGTCAATGGCATATGTTCCCTTGGGAAAACAAAGGCCTACGTAAATAAATATTATATTTTTATGCCTTAAAAAGTAAAGAGAAAGACAAAATTGAGTTCTCATACATACTAATTCATTCAATATTTGGATCCCCTACATTACATTAGAAATGTTTGCATGTGTACATAAGAAACGCAATATACACATGCCTGCAAATAAGCATGAGTACTTAAAAAAGAGAGAATAAAAAAGGATGAATTCAACAGCTAGAAAGAAAGAAGAGCTGATCAAGCAAATCACATTTCAGGAACCAAAAAAGAAACTGTAACAACCAAGAAGTTTTTGTAGACGTGTACATGTACACACAATGCGTGTGTGTTGTAGGGCTGCGAGTTGATTAAGTGGTGCGTGGGGCATGACAAGGCTACTATGTGCCTTTTAAAGTCATCTGTCACTCCATCATTCATGAGGGGAAAATAATATGAACAAAAGGGTGGGGGCTGAAATGGAGTGTATTTGTTCAACATCTCTCAACCCCGCAAAATGTAACCCTGTCTGACCACTAATGGTTATAAATGATTAAAGGCTAATGAGCTTGACATAGTCACTCTAACAGGGCACAGCCGAGCAAAACCTTTGTTCAATCTCAAACTAAGCGCAGTGATCAATGGTCCTCGACTGAAAACACAAATCGCATGACTGGTAATTCACAATTCATGCCAAAACCAATGCACTCTGTGCCACAGTACACTGTATTAGCATGCTTTTTCCATTCCAACTCTCAAGAGAGCCTGACGCGAGACTTCATTAAAGCCAAAATGGGTTGTTTTCTAGAAGAACAGTACATGTTGATCCATATTGGCCTCTTCTCTCGCATAACTGAATACAGTAATGAGGGGCATCTGCGGGTCACCTCTGCAGTCTCATCTGCAATACCATACCATTCATATGTTTCAGTTATTGCAGTTTGTATGTGTGCATGTGGAGTTATGCTTTAAAGTCTACTGGCTACAGCAGCCAGTATTGATGATACGACTCTCTCGCAGGAATCTGGAGGGATTCAAAGGCAGGCAAGATATTAACTGCAGGATTGGATGAAGATCTGCATCGCAATATAAGTAACAGAATAAAAATAAAAAAAAAAAACAATCAAAAGAAAAACTGAGTTTAGGAAAAATTAAAATGGATTTCAACAAAATGGATCCGTCTGTCTGTCTGTTGTCGAGCAGACCTGGTGTGTGTATGACTTTCAGAGTTCACTATTTTTCCGCCTGTCGCTCATTCCTGCATGTCCACTTTAGCGGAACATATCCCACAGCCTTAACAAGGCAAGCTGCAGAACAAGTTTTCTCTGTTTTGTGGACTCATTTGACTGCTGTCAGGTACCTGCAGGGCCTCTTCTCTTAAGACTCTCACTTCCCTTGCCATTCAAACTGTTCATCTTGGGAAGATCCGCTCTGCTGCCTGGGTGCATTTCTCCATCTGTCAGTCTATCTTTTGGTCTACATTTGACTAAAGGAAATGGCAGACGAGGGCCTGTCACAGGACAAGGTTATATCGACTTCCAACAGGAAGTATCATTAGATCACATCGAGACATATTAACTGACAGGTCTAATCAGTACGATTAGATTTTAAACTTAGTGACCCAAGACACATCAAATTGTGGTCAAGCTTGCAATGCAGATGTTGGCACGGTGTGGACAGCAACACTTTAAACTCAATACAGACAAACTTGTGTTTACATCAGCAAAGCTGGCCCAAGCTTTTGCATGTGAAACTCAAAAAGCAACTTACTGTTGGAGACAGCAATCCATCAGTGACGACACATTACCGTCACTTTTGGCTTCACTTTCAGAGGAACTGAGAGAAGTTCAAGATAACATTAGCAACACAAATCCCCGTGCCGGCTGCAGGCGCCAGCACCACTAGTTCATGCATTCCTAATTTTATCCAAAAATTATTTATAATGTCGCTTGGAAATATTAATGTGATCTAAACACATTAAAATTAATTAAGTACAACAGTTTGGTAATTCTGGCACATCTGATCCCACTCAATGCAAACAGAAGTGAAACTATCTTAGCCAACACAGAAAAGTCCCAGCAAGGTTGAGAATACAGAAAACATTCACTGCCTTACTGCCTGAAACCTTTGGTTCTGACATTCATGTGGATACAACCTGACACTCAAACACCGTTGCAGACCAAGTACCCCCCCCTCATGGCAACAGTAGTCTCCAATGGCAGTGCCCCCCAGCAGGATAATGCACCATGCCACACTACAAACATCGCTCAGGAATGGTCCAAGGAATGTGACAAAGACCTCAAAGTGTCAACCTGGCCTCCAAATTCCCCAGACCCCAATCTGAATGAGCATCTGTGGCACGTGCCATTGACCCACCTCATAACCCACTGGACTAAATGGAGCTGCCACCAACGGACTGGTGCTAGACACTGCAGGACACTCCTAGAGATCCTGTGTCCATGTCTCGACAAGTCAGAGCCAAGTCTGATCCAAGGAGGCCCCACCTTGGATTAGGGGTACATCTGGGGTACCGGCACATCACAAGAATCTTTGAGCAGATTGGGACTTGGGAAATTTAGAAGCCAGGTTGACACCTTGAGCTTTTTGTCACGCTCCACAGGCCATTTCTAAACAGTTTTTGTAGTGTGGCANGGGGGGGGGGGGGGGGGGGGGGGGGGGGGGGGGGGGGGGGGGGGGGGGGGGGGGGGGGGGGGGGGTGTTACTTGGTCTGCAACAGTGTTACAGTGGGTGGAACATGTCAGGTGGTATCCACATGACTGCCACC